TATTTATTTATTTGAGAGAAAGAGAATGAGAGAGAGCACATGAGAGGGGGGAGGGCCAGAGGGAGAAGCAGACTCCCTGCCGAGCAGGGAGGCCGATGCAGGACTCGATCCAGGGACTCCAGGATCATGACCTGAGCCGAAGGCAGTCGCTTAACCAACTGAGCCACCCAGGCGCCCAAGCCAATGCTTTTCATTCAAGGATGTAGAAGGCATTCCTTTTTCAAGTCTGACATATGGTTTTATAAAGCATAAAGATCATTTTTATTATTTCATCATCTATGTGCTAGATCTTAATATTCTTTTTGATGGTGATATATTCAATGACAGAAACTTATATAAAGAAAATTCCTTCTCAAATTGTAAACCAAAATTTCAAAAGCAAAAATGCTTGAAGTGATAGGAAGACATTTTTATGACACAAGCAAGCTACTGGTCTAAGCTGCTGGCATGAGCAAAAATAACAAAAGTACAAATTGTTAGTTAACCCTTAAATAATCTATGTTTGCTACAAATCCACAAATACTTTAAATATATTTTCTTCTGCAATAAAAATTAAGATAACCCCAATTTAAGCTTTTGAAGATGTTAATATTATGAATAAAATAGATTAACTTCTCCCTGAATGTCCAGTAATAAACTGAACCCCAACTTACCTATCCCAATGACATAAAAATGATCTAAAGTGGATCAAAGTGCATTAACAAGTTCATATAAAAATGATTCTTCATATGCTCTTTTACTAAAGCCATCAATGCAAAAAGAAATGTAAAAGCTTGTTTCATACTTGAAGATTTAGGTAACCTCCAAGGCATCACAACTTTTGAGATTTCAAATCTGGCGCTACAGTATGCAAAAATACTAGGGTATCCTAAAAAGGCAAACTTAAAAAATTCCACACATAAAATGGCCTAAATATCATTAATAATTACATTCTTCATAATCTTTTATCCAAAAACTTCAAAGCTATCAATCTCGTTCAGTGCTTTGAATGAGCAATCAAAATAGTCCCATTTATTCAAGTTTAAAACTAAATTTCTCCTTTCTCAATATGGAAGCATAGGCGGAATAGACAATGAAAGTTATTTCATCCAACATCCTGAGTCTACAGACATGGAAATCATCTACAACACAATCTCACTGTGTCATCATCGATTCAGCTTCTTCACCAGGAGCATCTTGAGAAATGTGGAGGTCTTCAAGCATCTCAGCCAGACTAATTCGAGGGGCTCCTTCATCATCTGTGTCACTTTCCACAGGAATGGTTGAATCTAAAAAAAAAAAAAAATACAAGGAGGATTTCAAATAAATACAAATATGGAAATATGCAAAATGCCTCCCCCCACCATCATTACTATTATTTAACCATATTATATCTGCAGTTCTTGTATCCTATCTAGAGCAGGCATTTATAGTCACTAAATGAATGAACTACATAAATGTATGAATAAATATCCATTAGTGTAAGAATCAGGAACTTGAGGGATTATAGCAAGATACAAATAATATCAAATGTGGTAAAACAACATTTCAATAAGTCTTACTGTTCTGCAAGTATTTTTATTTTTTGTAAATGTTTAGTCAAGTTTTAAAAACAAACACAGAAGTCATTAATGGAATGAAAGTTTAAGATACCAAAATACTTATACTGGGGTAATATATCTGTACAAAAGCAAAAGATACAACTTAAACACTCCTAAAACACTAACCTCTATAAATGTTTACATTTTTCCTAATTGCCTCATCTTCTTCAAGATCTTCAAGGAAATCTTGGTATTGCCTACAAAAAGAGAAAGAAACATTTAACTATTTGATCTTTACCAACAAAGTATGAAGTTATGTTTTCTTCATTTTCAGCACTATAAGATAAATGTGTTCCAAGTATTAAAATCTTTAAAAATAATATCTGAAGGCCAAATATGGATGTTAAATACTCTGACAAGTTAAAAAAAATCTTTTCTTTCAAAATTACATGATTAAAAAAATACATACTTGAATATAAGGTAATATTAAATATAAGACGAGAAAACGTCCTCCTACTTTACCATCCCCCCCCCCAAAGTCTTGTGGCCAAGTTAAAATACATACACTTTTAAGACCATAGTTGAAATAAATATGTACATACAATATCTAATTAATTTAACATTATATATTTGTAAATACTTATTTTAAATTACCTTATGAGATTGTATTTTGGAAGTATTACTATTTCCCACTCACATTTCATGACATAATTTTATTTAAACTCTTCATTTTTTTAGATATCAGTGTCTTCACCATCATTAAGGCCACTTCTGAATTGTCCAATATACTTTTCTAGAACACAACATCTTCATTTCTCCTTAAGTTGTTTGAAAAATAGCATATTTGATATCAACGGGCTCTTTTCTTTTTATCCTAAGTCATAAGTACTGACTTGCTATTTGTGATATCCACAAAGTACTTATTTTAGCTTTTCAAATGCACTGTTTACAATAATGCTGCAATTCTCAGGCCAAAACCCAGGAAATAATAATATTAATATATATATATTATATATACATACATATATAATATCATTATATCCCCTTATACTGATTTAATTAACACAACACCCTCTTACACTGATACAATTAACACAATAAGAATACAAAACTAATACTGAATGCAACAATCGTGTGATAACTATATATAAAAACTATACAGATTTATTATAAGGATTTCCTTTGAGACAATATATAAGGTTTAAAGTAGGACCTTTCATCATCTGTATCCATGTTTTCTTTATCTCTTGCAAGCTCTTTCAGTTTCCAGTTTCTACGACGCTGACGTTTGGTACGGTCATAATTCTTCTTGATTAATACCTAAAAGTAACAGCAGTATTTGCAAAGTTACAAAAAAATGGGAATGAAGTAAAGAGGCCTCAAAGTCCAACAAAGTTAAAAAATGAAAGACTATGAGAAAGCCAGAAAGTCACCAGACTGATGACAGTTGGTTACATCATAGGAGACAAAAGTAGGGATCAAGAGGCAGTGTCAAGAGAACTTGCAATATTTTTCTACATGTACTTAGTATTTTACGAAAATGCATTCTGCCATTATTTTCATAACTGTTAAAATTTAATAATTGAAATTTTCCAGTGATTCAAATTAAATTGCTTTTTTATACCAAAAACTTCACATTTCTAGTGTCTTTTTTTTTTTAAGATTTTATTTATTTGAGCGAACAAGAGAGAGAGAGGGGGAGAGAGAGTGCGAGCAAGTGAGCTCTAGCGGGGAGGAGCGGCAGAGGGGGAGGGAGTAACAAACTCCCCACTGAGTGCAGAGCCCGATGCGGGGCTCAATCCTAGGACCCCAAGATCATGACCTGAGCCAAAGGCAGCTGCTTAACCAACTGAGCCACCCAGGTGCCCCTCTGTTATCTTTCTTTCTTTAGACACAGCAGAGAGGGAACACAAGCAGGGGGAGTGGGAGAGGGAGAAGCAGGATTCCCGCGGAGCAGGGAGCCCGATACGGGACTCGATCCCAGGCCCCTGGGATCATGACCTGAGCAGAAGGCAGACGCTTAACCAACTGAGCCACCCAGGCGCCCCTGGTGTCTTTCTTTATACCAAAGTTCAGTTCTCAGCTACCATTCACATAATCATCCTGAAATATTACCACAGGCAGACATTTTCCCTCCCTTTTATTACTACTAATAAGCAGTTATAGATAGAACTATATTTATCTTTTACAAATATATGTCCTAGGACAGTTTAAAAAACTGAGTAATAAAAATAATTTTACACAATACAAAATCTTGTATGACTGTCTTGATGGCCTCTTATGACTCTGTTAGGCTTTTATCTAAACTATGCTTCTATTTCCTAATTTACTAATTAATAAAAGCACAACTGGGTGGTGAGAGGGGGAGTCCTTCTTATACCATGACTTCATTTTTGCCCACATCTAAAGAGACTAGTGAAGATTAAGCAATCAGGAATTAGGGTCTTTCACATTCACTCTTGCTTATGATTCTAATAAACTCATGTTAGAATTTAACAGGCTTACAGGCTTTTTTCAGAAGAAACATTCTTTCTCTAAAACTCAACATTGTAAAGATTATTTTCAATTGCAATTACATGCAAACCTGAAAAATCTGAATAATGGTTTTAATTCTAAACACTTTAACTGAACAATATATGAAATAAGCTGAGCCAAGAAGAATGAACCTAAATTAAGTTCTAATGGTCATCATTTTTAGCTGCAAATTTATTTTTGCTCTACAGATGATATCAAGCATTTTGACAGAGAATGGAAATTCAATTATAAGAGCAATGAAAAACTCAATAAATCTTGGATTTTCCCCACAAAGACACATGATTAAATATGAAGACTTTGCCATTATACCTTAGCTGCAATTTCTTTTTTTTTTAAGATTTTATTTATTCATTTGAGACACAGAGATACAGAAAGAGAGAGAGCGAGCACGAGCAGGGGGAGAGGCAGAGGGAGAGGGAGAAGCAGGCTCCCTGCTGAGCCAGGAGCCGATGTGGGCCTCGATCCCAGGACCCTGGGATCATGACCTGAGCAGAAGGCAGACGCTTAACTATCTGAGCCACCTAGGCGTCCCCCATTAGCTGTAATTTCAAAAGAACCTCTAAATTGATTTGTTATTTTCATAAATGTGAACTCAACGCATCTTACCCGTAAGTGTTATTATATCAATCCTCTTTAACACAGGAAAAAAGGAAAAAATCTAAAGCCTTACCACATCTGGGACTCTATCGGAGTTCATTTTGTTGACATACTCATCATTTAAGTTACAGTTGGCCAAATCAAACCTGAAATAAAATTAAACACTTAACGACAAAAACATTTATTCTTTCCACATTCCTTCTTATTTAATGGATGTTCACCCGAAAGTTCTAGAATTAACATTTAATATGCTTTCCCACATTAAAAGTTTTGCAGTTTACTATACAATGAACATGCCTCTACAGATCGGGGTAAAGATAACAACACATTCTGATCTCTAGGTTTCACATACTACCCATCACTGTCCATCCTACTATGTACTTGTAAAAGAGTCGGAACAGACATATATCAGTATAACATTAGAATTCAGTTAGATGGTTCCATTTAATTAAAAAAAAAAAAAAAAACCCACAAGAGCAAAAGTAATGCCTATGGCATGCTGGTAAGTTCTGTATTAGAATAGACTGTCCAATTCCTGTGAAGGATTCTTACATATATGGCTTCCATATTTTGAAAGTGAAATATTTGAGCAACAGCATATTCATAATAAAAAACTATGCACTCCCCAAAAAAGCTACAAACATGATCTAACCATACAACTTCAGGGTTCAATTACTCAAAATCTTGGATTAAATGATTCTTTAAGATGATGGCCAAAATGGAGTAACTATGGGCTTTTGTCCAATCTAGTTTAATTTAGTTATCAATAAAGTGAACTGTAAAGCTCCTAAGAACTCTTAAATTCTTTTTGGAAACACACCTTTGGTAGTATTTTAGATAGCTTTGCTGGCTCCCAAAGAAAATTTGCAATGCTAATTGCCAGTTTAAAATACTGTAAAATAATACAAACCCCAACACCAGGTCTCCAGGATTTAGAAGATGTCCCAAATGAGTACGACAAAAATACTGTTTATCTGTATTCATTTCAGAAGTTTTCTGTACCCAGACTTCCCCAAGGGTATGCTTGACAGGAAAGAAAATGCACACTTCAATAATCCAAGCATAACTCAAAATGCATCTCATAGAAACTAATACAATGTTAATTTTGGTTTTCTAATTTTCATTTTAAAGACAGCAATTGTTTTATTTTTCAGATCTCTGAAACACTGTCAAAATTAACAAATTACTGTACTGAGTACAGAAAAAGACTCAATAAGGAATATATAAAATAAATATCTTTATTAAGATTTTGAGACTTTATAAAACATTAACAATATCACCTAAATACAGACATATATAGAATTTTCAAAACAAATGTTTTCACAGGGAGATACATAATACAGACTGAGCAAAAAGAATAACTGAAAAATCTTAACTCCAGAAAATATCCTAACAAGCCCCTGTTTTACACACAGTGTTCAAAAAACCAAGGTTCAGACAAAGCAATCTAGCAATCCCAGTGGCACTACTACTACTAGAGAACCCAAATCTTTATGAAATCAATATTTTGGATGTGGGCTATTTGAAGTATAATCCTTTTTGTCCTGTTGCAGAAACAACATCCCAACTTTGATTTTTTTTTTTTTAAGTAGGCTCCATGCACAGCATGGAGCCCAACACACGGCTTGAACTCATGACCCTGAGATCAAAACCTGAGTTGAGATCAAGAGTTGGACGCTTAACCAACTGAGCCACCCAGGTGCCCCCCAAGTTTGAAATTTTAAATTAGAAAACCATTAAAGTCCCTTTCCAACATAGGATTTTATAAGCAATTGTAACTAACATTTCAAATTTCCAGGCTGAATTAAATACAGCACTTGCCAATACTTTTTACTAACAAAAAGAGATGTAAGTAAATGGGATCAAAAGCAAAATACTAAGAGTTATAGACTGGGGAATTAAGGAATCACAAAGAGATAGAGGGAGAAACTGAAATAAATGATTGTTTCCAGATTTAGGAAAGAACGGAAAAAAAAAAAAGTGAATTACCAGTTTCTTCAAAATTAAACATACCTCACCAAATGATACCACAAACATGCTCCTTGGTATTTACTTGCCAAAGGAGTTGAAAGCTTATGTCTCTACAAAAACTGCAAACACAAGGATGTTTATAGCAACTTTATTCATAATTGCCAAAACTTGGAAGCAACCAAGATGTCCTTCACTAGGTGAATGGACAAACCGTGGTAAATCCACACAGTGAAATGTTATTTGGCACTTATAGATTATATGATTCTAACTATATAACATTCTGCAAAACTATAGACAGTAAAAAGATCAGTGATTGACAGGGGTTAGGAGAAAGGAAAGAATGAATACGCAGAGCACAGAGGATTTTTAGAGCAGTGAAAATACCCTGTATGATACTATAATGAAAGACACGTCCTTATACGTTTGACCAAACTCAAAGAATGTACAACACTAAGAGTGAAACATAATGTAAACTGTGGACTTTGGGTGATTATCAGGTATCCATGTAGATTCATCAATTTTAACAAATGTACCACTCTGATGGGTGGGTACTGATAATGGAGGAAGCTATGGCATGTGTGGAGGCAAGAGGTATATGGGAAATCTCTTACCTCCTCTTAATTTTGCTATTAACCAAAAACTGTTCTAAAAAAGTACAAGTTGTTAAAAAAAAAAAAATTTTTTTTAAGGCATGGGGGCTCCCACTGATTAAATCTGGGACAATATGAATGTCCCAAAGGAAAGAAGGAAGACAGGCAAGCTAATAAAAAAAAAAAGTTAAGGAAAAAAAAAAGAGTGAAGGGGGCCATTATTAAGTAAAAGATTTAAGAGGTATAACATTCACATTCAACATATGGTCCCCAACTGGATACTAGTTTGAATAAGCCATAAAAGGCATTTTGGGACAAATGAGGAAATCTGAATATAAACTAAGTTTATACGAATGATAATACTTTGATTATGTAGAAAAACGTTCCTATGTTTTAGAGATGCATACTGAAGTATTCAGTAATTAGTGATAATATAACATATACTTAAATTCAAAATGTTTGAAAATTTTTAAAGTAAAAAAAGGTTTGTTTGTCATTTGGTCCTCCTATACAAAAGTAACGCTAGGAAATCTTTTTCACAATAAACATTTTTAAAAATGTTTCTAACATTAAAGAGAAAAATGAACTTACCAGATAGTGTAAGTCTAATAAATTTCACCACAATGACCACGTGTTAAAAACAAATAACATACAAACATGGAATGCATTTGTAACCTAATGAGGTGTTAGCTTTATGTGGAACCACATAAAAAACATAAAAATACAAGAGAGGGACCAGAACAGTTAAGTTGGGGGGAAAAAAGATGGGGAGGATGGAACTTACCTTTTTTGATATCATTCCAGCACCTGCATTGCGTTTTGGATCTCGGACTATGCTGCATTCCATCACAATAAACTCCTCTAGCTGTTTGGGATGGCATAAACTATTGAAAGGGTGACTCCAGAAAGTGCTTCCATCAATATCCGCAACTAAGTATAAACATAGAACATCAAGAATGAAGTATTTCAAAAGCCACCAAATGTATTAGGAAGAAGTTGATATATATGAACTGGGAAGCATGAGGTCAAGAGACCACAGTGGCAACTCTCTAGAATCATCATTTATTCCTATAAATCAGCCCCAAACTTCTCATAGCACAAGAAAAATTTCAGGTGTCAATATCTTAAGTAGTTACTATCATCAGGACCCCACATAGCTAAGTGCCTTTAGAATAAGATCAGGGCGCCTGGGTGGCTCAGTGGGTTAAGCGCCCTACTCCTGATCTCAGCTCAGGTCTTGATCTCAAGGTCATGAGTTCAAGTCCTGCGTTGGACTCCTCAAAAAAGCCTACTTAAAAAAAAATAAAGTAAGTAAGATCAGATCCACTCAGTTATATAGTTGTTTCATGTGCTGGCACTTTAGAAACCTTATCAGTCATCCTAGCTGCTTAATAAGAAATAAAGTTCTACCTGACAGATATTCATCCCAATACTGCAAAAAGACCTTTGACTTATGAATTCTAATTGACAAGAATAAGTGACTTTCTAAAAAATGTAAACTTGATTTTTTATAACAGAAAACTTACATTACAGGAAATACATAAAAAAGATCAAGAAGTAGATGCTCCTATCAATATGAGATCTTCTTTAAAAAACAGTTTTACAAAGGGAATGTTAAAAATTGTGTAATATGATAAAATGAATTAAAATTCATATTTAAACTAAATGTTTTACTGCATTATAAGTGAAATGTTCTAAACTTTAAATAGTTGCTATACACTAAACTTGGCAATGAACTTAATTATTCACAAAAATTAAATAAGGTAAATAAGTCAATTTCAGTAAAAATAAACGGACTAACCTAGTAAATTTTTTAAAATTCACAGACTTGTTTCTTCAAATAGAAAATTCAGGGGTAACTTATCAAAAGCTTTAAAAATTCCAGTGTTTTTTAAGAATTAAACAGCAGTAAAAATCTTAACTAGTTTTTCATAACAATATTACTGAGAATATTTGATGAAATTAGCAATATAAATTATTACAGCTTGCTGGACAAAACTGTCAAGGCAAATATTTCCTAAAACTTACCTTGTAGGGTATTTGGATCTATGAGATGAATGGCACTGGTCACTCGAATACACACACAAATCTGGTTCATATTTCCCAGGCTTTGTGCCAGTTTTGGAGACAGACAAACAACATTATCCTAGGCATAAGAACTAACATTTAGAGTGAAGCAAATCCTAAGTAACTGTCTCCAATAAACACTCATCAATATAAACCTGATCCAAAGTATATGTGCCCAAACCAAAATGTTATTGTTAATTCTATTTATTAACAAAGGGCCTAAAGAAAAGAATCAAATCTTGGAGAAACAGAAAATAAGCTATTCCTTCTAACGATGGGAAGATCTGTCTTAATAAAAATGTTTTAAAAGTATTTTTCCAGATCTTATTCACTAAAGTTTTGAGTTTATTTTCAATTTTATTGAATTTTAATTGCTTATTGCTCTATGGTAATACATTGTACATTCTAAACAAGGTATTGTAAGCATCTGAAGGAGGGTGATTTTCTATATCTACCTGTGACTTCTTTCAATTTCCATAAAAAATAAATTTCAGAGGAGCCACATGTTTCTCTTTCAGGGCTACATGCACCAATAGATAATCAAAAATTTAATGCCCAAAAAGCACATATGTCCATGTGTACATTAGAGGAGATATTACCAGCAATGTAGTTACCTGTTTTTAAACTGTATTAAAATACAAAAAGATCTGGCTTATATTTTAAGCTGTATCAATTCACAATCATAGGCTCCTCCACTGAAGGGGCGTTCTGTGCATCTCTAATAGCACCTAGTCCAGTACTTGTTTTTCACTTAGGAAGAGTCTCAACAGATTAAATGAAAATACTCTTACATTGTGCATTTATTCAGTTACTTTCATGAATCACTCAAAGCACTTAACCCATGGCCTAAAGATGACATCACACCTAGATTCACCCTTCATACAGGCTTTGTACCAGGAAAATGTTCACTGTTTTAAACCAGCGGTCTGCAAAATATGACCCTCAGGCTAAATTTGGCCCACACCATTTATGTAAATAGTTTTGCTGGAACATAGCCTTGGCTATTCATTTACCTATTATCTATGGCTACTTATGTAAAATAAGAGCAGAGCTGGATAGTTACAAAATAGACTACTGGGCCTGAAAGCAAAAACATTCACTATCTGGCCCTTTACAGAAAAAGTTTGCTGACACTGCTTTTTTTTAAAGTAGGCTCCATGCCCAACGTGGGGCTTGAACTCATGACCCTGAGATCAGGAGTCACATGTTCTACCAATTGAGCCAGCCAGGTGTTGCTGCTGACCCTGTTTTATGCTATCATTTCATCCCTGTTATTATACACTGCACCATAAATTAGTATAGTATTTTTAAAGCTTTAGAGTCACAGACCTAGGCACAAATCCTAGCTTCATTTTGTAGTTATGTAACTCTGGGCAAGTCATCTAACCTCCCCAAGCTTCAGTTTCCTCATGTTCAAAATGATGAAATGATTTACCCCAGGTATAACAAGACATGAAGAAGTGAAATATACTCAAATACTTAGATACTAACTTTATATGGAATGCTCACAATAAATTACGGCACTTATCGTTATTAGTAGATATTGACATTTAACTTCCTATATGGTAGAGACCTCTAAATAATAATCCTTAATACACTGCCTTCTCTGTAGTAGATCCTCAGTAACTATGTGTTGCATTTTAATTCATTTATATTTTTGAAGCAGGGTTTTACCTTAATACAATGAAATGAAATGATAATTTATATTTTAAGTTTTATTCAGACTGTTTTTAAATCACAAAAATGATTCTACGATTTCATTTCCACAATACTGTTTAATTTTATCATGCCAAAATCCATTTTATACATATTCTACAAAGTGGTTCACTGATATTTATTTTAATGTCATTTCCTGTATTCAAACTTTTTATGTGTCCACCAGGATCACAAATTTTAAGGAATGTGAACATTAAAAAACTGCAACCAGACCTTTAATTAGTATACCAAAGTGAAAGGTATGCCAATTTATAATTTTAAGCATGATTATTTTTTAACATCTTTTTAATATGGCTGAATATGTCAGACAGGAATCCTTTAAGAAGGAAGTTATTCTAAATTTTTAACCAATCCCAGAAAGAAATCAGGAGCTAATAATTACATATAAACCAATTAATTACCTGTATTCTTTTATAGACATGAATTAATTAAATGAGAAAAAGTACCTTGCATATTGGAACAATTTCCACAGAAAAAGTGCTTTTGTAATTGTATGTGTTACTATGGATATCCTGAGAGATCAATCTCTGTGAGGCTTTGTGTCTGTTAAGAAAAAAAGTTTATAGTAATAAAAAGACATAAAGATTCCTACTTATTGTAGTCTAGGGAATATCAATTTTTATCAAATCAAATGATTACTGTCCAAGGTGTGAAACAGCATTCTGATGCCTGCTATGGCAAAGCCTAATTTCATCCACTTACATTTCAAAACCTTCACCAACCCAACTGCACACTACCTCTTTTCAATTTTATCTACTCAAAACCTCTAAAACATGCACTTGGCTCAGACCAATGTAGTCTATATATAGCATCCATTAAAAGCCACACATTGTCCACCACAAGTCTGTGTTCACACTAATCTCTCCTTTCACTATAAACTCTACCTATGAAAATTTCCCATTTTAGGAAATTTCTTCTTCTTCCATGAAGCTTGTCCCCAAAGCCCTCTACCCCCATCTTTCTTTTGTATTATTTAAATACATTCAAAGGTTTAGCACTATAGTACTTATCACAGTGTGAGGTCTAGCTCCCTGAAGAGATTCTTACATACTCTTTGGCTAATAATTCCTGTAAAGTGGCTAATCCAATAGATGCTTACTAATCATGTAAATATTCCTATTATAATTTTAAACTTTTTAACATAAGAGATGTAGTCTAAGCCTGAAGAAAGGATAAGATTTACATTCATTCCCAGCTCTTTGGGTTTAATCATATTTAGGTTCAGAACATACCTACAGGGAACTGTACACTGAAGAAATTCTACCATTTTCTGAGCATGCTGTTTTGAGGAATAATAGAAATCCAGACCATCTTTAAAAAGAATAAGAAAAGCCACATGAAAATAATTCTGCAAAATAAGACTTTCCTCTACTAACATGACTATATCACAAATTAAATGTGTAGTAAACAAATTATTAGAAAACATAAAAAATGTATCAAGACTTAACAAAAAGATAAGACAAATCAGACAAATAATAACAAAAGAAAACAAGATTCACAATTTTAACTTCAGACAAAATAAAATTCAAGATCAAAGGGGGAGAGAAATGGGGCGCCTGGGTGGTTCAGTCAGTTAAACATCCGACTCTTGATCTCAGCTCAGGTCTTGATTTTGGGTTGTGGGGCGGGGGGAGCTACACAGAAGAAGTGTATTTTATATAATAATCTCCCAAGAAGATAATAGGAATGCATCTAATAACATAGCACTGAGATGCAGAAAACAAAAACTATTAAAAAGAAAAAAGAAATTAATAAATGTTAACACATGCACAATCACTGTGGGAGGCTAGTCTGAGACTATCAAAAATAAAATGACCAAGAGGGTATTATGCTAAGCAAAATAAGTCAATCAGAGAAAGACAATTATATGATTTCAATCATATGTGGAATTTAAGAAACAAAACAGGATCATAGGGGAAGGAAGGGAAAAATAAAATAAGACGAAATCAGAGAGGAAGACAAACCATAAGAGACTCT